ATGTTAGGCTCTAGGGACACAAAAATAATGTGTCACTAAATGTGAGCCCCTGATCCAAAGAACTTATTACTCAGAGAGAGAACAAAGATGTTAACAGTTGACTAGAACCAAGTCAAACTATGAAAACCAAGTAAAATGTTATGAAAATACAGAAAAAGTGTGAGTAATTGAGTGTAGAGAAATTAAGGTGGATTTGAAAGGGGAGGCAATTTTTCCTGGATGTTTACACACACAGACACACATATTGCAGACTCGAACTAGTCACTAGATGTTGCCAGTGGCCTAGATGTGGCTGAGTGAAGATTTTAAGCTAATTGGTGATATTCATTTTATTATTTTCACACATATAATAATCCCTAGAAAAGTGGGTTAGTCTGTTCATACTCACGATTTCCAATCTCAATTAAACCTTTAATAGCACTCTCTGAACATTTAGTTCTCCCATTATCTTAAGTGGCTATTCCAAACCTATTTCCAAACACCATTTAAATAAACTGCCTAAACTCTCATAAAGTTTCCTTTCCTTCCAGTTCTAAAACACAGAGGCCATTAGGTGGCTGTTCCCTCTATGGCCTTTCATTCCCTCATGGTCTCTCCTCAATGGAGGGAGAGAAATTTCTCCTCCAATTCGAACTAGCCTCTCGCTTGCTCCATCAAAGACCTTTCTCTTTCTCCGTTCAGCCTCATCTCTTCCAACAGCTTCTTTTCCTTCACCTGAGAATACACTGAAGCACCTCTCGTCCTAAAACCCATCCCCATCGTTGTTGCTGTCTCTCTGCCTCCCTCTTGCCTTCCATTCTCAGCCATCCTGTTGAAAGTATATTCTAAACCAAAGCTTTACAAACTTTAGTGCCCGTAAGAGTCCCTTGAGGATCTTGTTAGAATAAATTCAGCAGTCTGGGGTGGGGGCGAGGGCTCTGCATTTCTAACAAGTCCCAGCCTATTATAATTCTAATTTCTAAATCATTATAAATACCAAAGGTCTGAAGTCTAATTCTCCTCACGTTCTTACCTTCCATTTGTTTATAGCCCTCTTGCTGTGGGTCTTCTAACCTCTACATTTTAAATTCTGCTCTCAAAAATCACCAGTGGCCTCTTGAATGACAAATCCAATTGACACTTTGCAACCACAATAACCCCAGCCCTCTGCGGTGAATCAGGCATCCCAGAGTCTTGGTGCAATCTGCTCACCCCACTTCTAGGGCTCCATTCCTTTCTGATTTTCCTCTGGTGTATCTAGCCATAAATTCTCACCTCCCTTTTCAATCCTTTTTGTTTACCTGCTCCTTAAAATTTTTTATGTTCCATTAAGTTTTCACCAAGATGTATTTCACTCTATACCCTTTTGAAAAATCTCATTTTAGAATTTTAATTTCTGCCTACATACTATATTGCCCCAAATCTTCCACTTTATTTCTGCTTGAACTCAGTCTCATATACTGAACTTCCAAACTTGAATTGCTGCATCGTAAACTCAACATGTAAAACCTATCTCATTAGTTAATTCCTAAAACCAATGTTCCCTATTTTAAGCCATTTATACCACCCTCCATCTAATTAACCAAAATCAAACCTGGAATGACCTTGATTCCTTACCCACCTCTCATCCAATCATTAAGTTCCTGTGGTGAGGAAATACCGAAGGGTTTGGAGCAGGGAAGAAACATGTTTAGAAGTCTGGCTTTAGAAGGAATAAGCTTGCATGGTTACGGGGTGAATAGGAGCAGGGAGAGGCAGGAGAAAGAGTATCTTTTCCAATCGTCTAGCTGGAAATTAATGAAAGTTTGATACAATGTAGTGGTAATGGGAGCAGAATTAAGGGCAAAGGTAGGAAGTTTCCTTACACAGACTAGCCGGTAAGACTGCTGATGGGATATCAGGTTGAGGAATCGAGTATCCTCTCCTTAACATTCTTTCCTTTTTCCCCTTGATAGCAAATACTCAACAGATGTTTTACACACATCCTCTTACTGCACATTTAGAGTTCCCAGAATTTGTTGTACATTGTCACTTGACAATATAGCATTTAATAATTGGCAGGACATAGCAATCACATAGCAGGGATGTGGGACTCGGACCCATTGCTGTGGTCTATCATTCTAATGGGGCTAAGCTTTCTTATTTCATCCCAAACTGGAAGTTTTTCAAAGATCGAGGCTTTAGTTCACTTGGTAAATTTTTTTCAATGATTCCATATTTTAATAGATCTCTAATGTGTTTAAAACGTGTATTTAAAATGAGATAAAGTTGCACAAATATTATTTTCAATTTTATTTAAATCAAATAATGTTGTGATTGATGTGAAGAAATTTTCATAGAAACCACATGAATTTTATTGATATAAAAATTTATAGACAAAATTCTAACACCTAATTATCCAATTCTGAAATAATTAAATGCAAAGAACACACACGTTAAATTGCCATAAACATGTAGGCATTACACAATGCACATAATGGAGTCATAAAACATTTTAAACTGCTTTATTATAAATAATTGAAAACAATATTTCATTTTTCAAATCCAGATAACAAAACAGTAAGTATTATGTTTTCTTTTTTATTTATTATTTCATTTTATTTTTGTAACATGAGTTTGTAGATAGTATTCCTTATCCAAAGACTGGTAAAAAAAAAAAATTTGTAGGAACACAAAAGAACAAAACACTCAATTTCTTTCACTTAAATGAAAACAATTGAGAAGGTTTTTAGAGAAAGAGGCTTAATTGTGCTATGAAGGAATCACCAAGAACAGAAAAACTGTATAACACCTGCAATGTCACTTGTAAGGCAAAAAGAAGTTGTACACAAACACATAAATATAAAAAAGACTTGATGGTAAACTTTAAAAAAAATACTTTCTTAAAAATGTGTATAGTTTTATTCTCACAAATGGAGGAAAGCCAGTAGGGCATAGTGGATCAAGTCACCAAGTCTGAAATTGGTATTGTTACCTTGAAAAAAACTTTTTATTTTCTAAGAAAAGAGACCCGACATCTGTTTCAATTTTCTCATCCCATAGTAACTCATGTTTTGATGAAAACTTTACTACTGCAAGGTTGGAAACATAGAGGCAGAGAGAACTTTTTGATTAAATATTGTAGTAACTTTAAGTTGCCACAAAAGTTGTGCCCAAAAATTCACTTAAAATAGATTATCCCATAGGAATATTTTCATTAAGAGATTTATAGCAGCTACCAGAATTTCTCTTAGTCAGGTGACTATGATTAATTTTCTTTTTTTGTGTGTGTTTCTCTCACCTATAATATAGAGAGTTTTACCAATTTCCTCCACTAATAATTTAAAAAAATTAGAAATTTCCCAAGGAAACAGCCTGAAGGAGAAAAACGTGAAAAGCAATTTATTTCATTAAGTAATATAGTATATTTCTTTGAACACTTGTGTTTATTTGCATCAATTAAGGATAATGTTGCATATTACAGATTAAACAGCTATCAGGCTTATCATGGATATAAACATTCTATGTACAATGATATTTATAATTCTTCTATTTTTCATAGGTTTCAAAACATATCTTTTATAGAAACTGGAACAGTGTGAATCTGGTAAGCATGTTTCAGTTAACTAGCAAAATTTAAATTAGCAAGAAATAACAGGGTGAAGAATTAAAGTTCTAAAAACATTTTTAAAATAATGAAGTTACACATATGTATACACATGCAACAAGATACTGTAAAATGAACTGCTCCAGTTTACTTGGTTTTACTCCAACTTAATACACTCCACAATACTGCTTTCCCATATAATATCAAAGGAAATACTGAATGCATGTAGATTATTTTAAGAACTTGATATATTTCACATTCTTTATACTTTATGCAGGTTATAAATATATCTTTATATCAGTCAGTCAGTTTTTAGAGTAATGAAAACCATAATATGGGGGGGGTATAATTTTTCACCTCATATGTCCTTATTTGATAATGTCCATTTTTTTCTGAAAGACATGTCAAAAAGTTAAAGAGTAATGGAGTTGGTTTCTACCTCATGCTGTTATTCTCCATGCTCTACAGTTCATTATGGCTTACAAAAATGGAATTTACATTTGAAGATGGGTAAACCGAATCAACTATTAAGTATGATATTCGAATTAGATTTTTGAAATCCATTAACATTTAATCAACTCAAAGGGCAATTCTGTTTTTTCCTAAATTTTTATCACAATTGTGCAACAGTATAAACTTATTTGTTTGTAGGTTTGCATAGATACAACACCTTTCCAGCTGATCACGGTGGCTTTACACCTGTAATCCTAGCACTCTGGGAGGCCGAGGCGGAAGGATTGCTTGAACTCAGGAGCTCATGAGCAGCCTGAGCAATAGTGAGCCCCATCTCTATTAAACACAGAAAAATTAGCCTGGTGTCATGGCATGCCCCTGTAGTCCCAGCTACTCGGGAGGCTGAGGCAGGAGGATGGCTTGAGCCCGGGAACTGGAGGTTGCAGTGAGCTATGATGACACTTCTGCACTCTAGCTGGGTGACAGAGTGAGATTCTGTCCCAAAACAAATGAACGAAACAAAAGATATAACACCTTTCACTGGTGTGATGCATCTTTTTCAAAGGATTATAGCAAGCCTGTTTCTATTCTTCATGTATATTCTTTTTTTTGTTGTTAATTCCTTTTTTTTTCTGTTTTCTATGAAATCAACCATATTTATCATCTGGCTACCATAGTTCCAAAATAAGATCCAGTAGTAGTTAGAAGTACAGCAAGCTGAGCAGTTTCTTCCCTTTTTAAAGCATGACAGTTAGTGGCAATTTATAGTCAAGTCATACGAATACAGTGACCCCAAGTAGACTTTCGTGAACTCAAAAGGCTCCAAATCCACAGTCAAGAACCTTGATGACTTCACATAACTACCACTTGTTGCTGGAAGGGAAACGATACTGTTTGCTTCAGAAGTTTTCAAGCAGTTTCTCCTTTGGTAGCTTCTCCAGATTTCTTTGTTGCTTTGATAGTTGCTTCTGACATTGTTCCTTCAAAAATCCAAAGGTCGAATCATCATCGTTGTAGAACGTAAGGAGTAACTGGGCCCTTTGAAGTAGTGCCACTTTATCCCATTAAGTTTTCCATGGTTTTGTCCCGCAGTATAGAACATTCCATTTAGATTGGAGGGGCCACAAGCATCAAACCACCAACCTGAAAAATTAGTTAATAATGAAAGAGAGAAGGAGAGAAGAAACAATTATAAATAAATTGAACAGTTGGAAATTAATTGCTTCAACTGCTGGGCAACTTGTTCATACTTGTGATTATTTGCAAATAGGAGGCATTCAATAAGTACCTTCCCAGTAGTGGAATTGTTTTAAATGACTTTTTTTTTTTTATTTCAGCATATGACTTTTGATTTAGGATTTGTATGAACAATCAGAGGGAGGGACGCTCTCATAAAAACCAGCTTTCAGTGTGATTCCACCGAAACTCACTTCCTATTGTACTAATGGGAAGCCTCCGGGCTTCAAGATACAATCTAAATCATGTATCTTAGGCCTAGATTTACATGTAGGACAAGTTAAATGGAGATACTCATAAGAGACATTCCACCTTAAGACTATTATGGGAATAGAACAATTAATTATTAGTGAAGAAATTTAGAAGCTTAGACAACTAACTGACATCTAAATAGAAAGATATTATCCATCTACTTAATAACTTTGTCAAGAATTGGCCCTAAGCTGCTTCTAAAATTACTTGTATACTGTGCAATGACTGTGATGCTTAAATTGAACTTTAATTAACATGCCCCCTTTGTAGTTTATTAACAACATGGGAAGTGTTCATCAATAACAGCCATATAGTTCCTATATAGCCATATTTTGTTTGCGATTTAAGTGCTTTCCAAACTTAGTGGAAAGAAAAACAACTTGATGAGTAACATGGAAATCCTGTGCTTGCAAAGCTCTCTGTAAGGATAACAGAATAACTCAGTTTTTTTTTTTAATGAATTAAGTTCTTAAATTTTTAGATAAAGCATAGTACTTTTCCCCATCTCCTGAAGTAACACTACTGAAATCTTTAGGGAGAGATTTATGCCAGAGACATTCTGGCATATTTTTATTTGGATACAGTTGACCTCTCTTTGATTACGGACTTATACCTAAGGGACTAATAGCTAAAGAAAGGAAAGCTGTACAGCTGATGTTTAACTGTAACATGAGCACCATCTTGCAGAAACTTTAGAAAAAGTAAAATGAAGAAAAGCTAATTCTCATTTTTCAATTTTGGAAGATGAATACAGCTGGGTTGTGTTTATAAAGTCACACTGGAGGCATAACAAGCTGCATTAATCACCAGTTCATACTGAGGAACTATAAGGCATGTCGTGATGAATTTGGAAAGACACTATATTCAGTGCTGTTTTACCAACTGTATGCAAACAACATAAATGTTAATGCAGTCAAAACATGAGGGACAAGAAGGCTCTTGTTTGGAAAAGAAGGAGGGACTATAAAATTCCACCTTTTTTCCTGAAGATTAATTCCTCTAATATTTGCTCAGTACAGCTAGTAAAAATATGCTATTTATATTACAAAAGGCATTCTAATATTAGGGGATTCATTTACCCAGAAGACTCTCTCTAAAGGACTAAAATGAAGTTTTAAAACGAAATTCAACCTGAATGTTTCCATGTTTTAACTTTCCTCCTCCTTTTCTGTGACCTTCTCGAGGCACTCTTCCATCACATTAATGAACCTTTCATAGACTTTCAAATATCCACCATGGTCTCTGAAGCAAACGCACTTACTCTAATTGTTGAGACTGATGACAACTCATAGAACAATCTTCCAAGCTACATTAGGGTACTCACAGTAAAAATGTGTGTTTTCTGTTTATTTGGTTTATAGAAAGTCACAAGAGTCCTGGGGGAGTGGGAAAGACAAGCATCTGTTGCAGTAACAGCCTGGCAATAATGGGCACAGACTAAAGGATACGGTCATTGGGAAACTTTGGGCAAGCTTAGGAAAGAGACAAGAAATAGTAGGAGACTGAGAGAATCAGATAAATTGATCTGGTGATTTTTTACTGATGAGTAAAGTGGAGTAGTGTTTGTGATAAGGAGGATGGCGTTTGGAGACATTGAGAGAAGGCCAGCACGGCTGGTGCACAGTCAACACCAGGGACAGTCACCTGAAGCGAAGAGGGTCTGCAGACAAAATCACCCTGTCTTTGTTCGTTATCCTAAGAGCAATGGAAAGCCATACTTTATATAAGAGTAGAGCACATGCAAATGCCATGAGGAAAAAGGACAGCTTGGTGTGTTTAGCGACTGAAGGGACATCAGTGTAGCCTGTGCACAGCGAACAAGGTGAGTCTTGTAGGAAATAAAGGTGGAGAAAGAGGCAGTCTTGGTGGAAAATTGAACAACGTTTGTGGAAAAATTTATAGTTGAGTCAGCCAGTATGTCCATCATCAGGTGAACAAGTAAAACATTCTCTAGGAATGGGAACCAATATTTAACCAGGGGAACCAGATCTGCCAGGTTAAATGTTTAATAAAACACTATTTGGAGACCCCATTCTATATGATCTGCTAAAGCCATTCTGAGCTTATGTGGCAGCATGATGAAGATGAGAAAATGGAGTCTAGAATCAATTCTACAATTTAACCAATGGACAGACCTAGGGGACAGTGTTGAGTGAAGCAAAATTGCTGACTTGAAAGCATGCACAGTTTTGTGAAGGAGAGAGACAAACAAAATGTTAAAAAAATGAGATGACAGCCATTAAACAAAGGGATGAGGAAACTCTTATGGCAATACAGAGGCAGAAGGTCCTAACTCCCTGGGAGATCATAAGGCTCACTCATTTAACAGCTGAGCAGGGTCCTCAAGGATGGGTTTGCAATCACTGCATACAAAGAGCTTCTAAATGCAGTCTGTACTCTGGAAGAGCACGAGAGAGTGTCTGCCAGCAGCTTGGCTTGGCTGGAGTGCCAGTGGGTAAGAGGTTTGAGAATACAGGGCTAGAAAAATAAACACAAGGGAGAACATAGAGGTTTTTATTATCCTTTTAGAAATTTTCTTGTGGGCAATAGGGAGCCTGGAGAGCACTAGAGAAAATTTAGAAGACCCAGACTTTGATGCTGACTTCATCAATTAATAACCAATAGATCCTAGGCAATAATATCAATAATATTTTATATTCATTGAATAGTTAATATGAAGATATTTACATGAAGTCTCTCATTTTATCCCTCACGCAGCCTTATGTGCTGTGGCAAGTATCACAATGAAGACATCAATACTCACACAGTTTAAGGAACTTTTTCAAGGTTACATTCATAATACTTGGATTGTAATGTCTGACCAACCATTTTCATAGCACAGTTTTGAGGATCAAATAAGATGATGCTCTATTAGTGCCTGTAAAATCCTATGTAAGTATTTGGTGTAAGTTATGTAGGAAATGGGGAAAAAAGTTTAGGGCAATAACAAAAGGGATATTGTGGAAAATCGTAACAGTAATTAAATAATGAAGACGTAGTCATCAGTACCAACATATGTTCTTATTTGCTTGGTAGGGCTTATTAGAGAAATATGAACATAATTTGGACCCAAATGAGTACAGCTGTACAATAACACATCATAGAAACTTGGCATCTAAGTACCTAATGTGGGATTTGTTTTCAATGTTTTGTTTCTATTTCATGAGGAATCAAAGAGCCTGAAGTGTTCAACTAACTCTTCATTTTAAAACTAGTGGGCCATGTATGCTGTGGTTTATCAGAGTGCAACCAATAATGAAGATGATGAATCAACATGGCAGAAAGTGAAATAGAAGAGCAATTATTTCTTATGACCATTTCAGTTTTATTATAACATATTCTGAACTTCAAGGTAGCAGAAATAGTTGTTTCTGTGCAGGTAAGTATCCTCTGCTTTCTCTGACACATGCATTAAAACAAACTAGACAAACAAACTGAAGAATTCTTTCATATCAAACATTTCAAATAGTGTGCCCAGTTTCTACCTTTTGTTAAAAAAATTAAGCATGATCACATATTTTAAACATAAATGCTGAAAACATGTGGTTTCAAGGATATTTCTAGAAAGCAAGCAAAAGTATAGCACGCTCCTGGTTACTCATATGTACTCCTTAGTATTCCCAGGCAGTCACATGTACTCATAGGTATTTGGTACAAATAATAATAAGTTTTCATGGGGTGGAAGATGTTCTGAGTGAACAGAACCCAGGAGTATGCCTGGGTTTGCAGTTCCTCTTTGACAAGACACCAAATAGCTGAATTATACATTCTCTGCAATCCTGGGGAAATATTAACTTTGTACTTTGTATGTGCCTGAGAATAACAAATGAGAAAGTTGCAAAAGAAGTTAATCTAGGAAAGGCCCTTTAAGCCTAAAAGAACTCAAGTGATGCAAGCAAAGAATGGAAGAAGCTTCTCTCTGCTATTGAGACAACTGATAAAATGTCTCAAATGTTTTAAGGTTGGCAACAGCTGAGATGTACTTTGCCAAGCATTTTTCTTCATAACCTGTAACCTCATGTATATTTTAATAAGAAATCTGAGACGCATGTTTCTAATTCATTTACACTTAACTCATTAAAATTTAGCTTTGTAATAACTATCCCAGGCCTTTAAAAATCATTTGAGTCTTTTATCTCTGAAGCAGAAAATTCACATTTTATCACCAATAAATGAAACATTGCCCAGAAAATAGGAACTTGATTCTAAACTTTGTACTCAGGAAGTTCAAATTTATTTGAAAGTCAGAAAACCTAACTCTCAAATTCTCCTGATCCTAAACAAAATGTCTTTCAACACTTCTTTTCTAAGGTAAAAAGTACAGCAAAATGAAAAGGTATATCTGTTTTTGTGGATTTCTTTCATTCATTTCCAGTACATGCATTCTAATCAGCAATATGCAAAAGAGTTTGCACAGAAACAAGATTTTAGTCTTCCATCGAGAAGGATGAGGTTGAACTGAATTGATTAGTGCCATCATTATCAGTGGGATCATAAAGAAAAAAATCACGTGATGAGTTTATGTGCACAAAGTTGGCCCTACCCATGGCTAGCTTCAATTCGCAGTTGCATGAATTTGTATGCGAGAGGCAGAGGCCCTTTCTAGAAGTCTGTGTTCCTTCTGTCATCTCATACTATATCTCCTTCAGGCCAAG